TTTTTTTTTCATTAGAGGCTTGTTTCGCATAACAAATGATCTATGGATACCTTTAATTTTGTATCTGTGATACTGATGGGTCTCGTCTCTTGTCATTATGATTGCGAGACACTAGTTGTGAGTGCAATAAACGTGTTCTAAGTAATGTTTTCTTTTTCATAAAAAGGATGTCTCCAAGTATATCTCCAATCCACATTCGTAAACTTTCTTACAATGTCTCATTACAAAACAGTGTTTAGAAACCTTTCAATTTGCAGTTTTCTAATCTAAAAAAGGCATCCGCGGTCAACATAAGTCCTATCATATGATCGTTCGGATTGTGACGACTATTTTTAGATACTGAGCGAGTTTCTTACTAAATGGCCAATAAACGATTTCATACTTTTCACGTTAGATGGTCTCTTGCGACAAATGCGTAGACTGTGATAGGAGGGTCAGGGTCATTAAATGTTACAAGAGGTGTAGATATCATAAAATTAGATGGTGAGCGCAATTCGAAGTAGTATAAGAAAACAAAGGCATGCATGAAACTTCAAGTGGATGGAGGGACAACTGATAATCCTTTTCACTGTTTTACCGTAAATTACGAGCGAACTTTATATCCGAAAGTTGATATCTAATTGCAGTAAGCAAATGGCAACTTGGGCGGACATTCAACGTCTTGTCTCTGATCTTCAAAGAGTGCAACTTTCACAATCAGCAAAGAAGTTGTTTGAATGATATTGATGAGGTCCTTTGGTTCTGCATTCTCATGATATATTTATGACAGGCTTTCTGAAGCCAACTGCGTTGAAGTGGTGACTAAACTAATCCAGAGGTCATTAATTGATGTAGTGTTCACAAGAGACGGACATTCATACATCACGCAGAAACACCTCGCCACTGAGGTACGATTTTCTTCTCAATCTCTTATAACGCATGTAATTACAGTTTGTTGCATCTGAACAAGAACGTCTGGCGTACTCTCAAAACTGCTTACGCGTATATACATATATACATACTCATCAAATGTTCTTTTTCAGGTACGGAATGAATGTGTTGCTTTGGGTGGGCGTGCTCCCTTGACGGACATAGCTTCTTCGCTGAACGTCGATCTCGACCATGTTGAACGTACTGCTCAGAAACTTGTGGATGAAAAAATTGGATTTACGATTTCAGGAGGAGAACTTTTTGCAGAGTGCGCAACTTCTAAAAGTTCATAACACGCATCCTTTTCCCATCTGAGTCGATGGCCATCACTAGCGAAACTAACATTATATGAAATCAGATTCTTTTGTTGTACGAGATTTTTTCAGAGAGTACGTTACTAATCTCCAAACAGAGCTTCGCACTCTTCTTTTAGAGAACGGCTTCCAAACTCTTTCTTCGTTGTGTAAACATTGGAATCTGTCGCAGGTATCACTTTTCATATATTGACCAGTTATAAGCATAGAATTCCAATGAGATAAAAGAAGTCTGCGTTAGGAAAATAAATTTTTCATACAAGTGCGTTTAAGTGAATCAGGTTTCTACACGATACTGATTCCCTCGTTACGCTATCAGCCTAGTGATTTTTCTCGTTTGCTTCCATTGACAGAAAAATCTTTTAGTTGGTCAGCTTTGAATTATCTTTCCAGGAACTTCTTCGTTCTTTGTTATTAGACCACCTTTCAAGTGACTTCGGTGGCATAGTAGAGGGAGATACAATATATACTACGGACTACCTTAACTGCCGCAAAAATCTTCTTCGAGCTACGTTATCTTCTATAACCAAGTAATTTCTTTCTTTGTTTTATTATGCGGAAATCAACAACACATTTCAGACCGTTACCTATCGCTGCTGTACAGCTGCGAATTGGTCTTCCTGTTAATCGATTTTGGTGGGCGTTTGACTCATTGATGGAGGCAAATGAGGTGATTTTAGAACCAAGAGTTTGGTGCACAACTCATTATGTAATTTCAAGGCTGTGTCCGGACAAATATTTTGGCCGCAAGTTCTTCACCTTTTGTGGACTTTGGTGCGCTGAGCACGAGTATAAACTTTGTTTTGTCTTATAACAAACAAAGCATGAAAATGTTCGAAAAACATAGACACCTTTGCCTTTTAGGGTCGGGGAAAAGTTGCAGCGACCATCTCTGGCCAGCAGTGCTTTCTAGTAAAAAAAGGTTAGGCACGCGGAAGGTGACAAACTGTGGATTATCACATGTTTTTAACACTTCACTTCTTCTCCGGCGTTCCTTTTTGGCCCATAAGCGAAGGGTCCTTCCCTGATTATGCTTAGGCAAAAAGCGGTGCAGAATTTGGGCAAAACGTATTTTTCTATAAGCATTTTCCGGATTTTGTCGCTTTCCGCCCTACACCCTAAGGAAGGTAACCGGCTCTACTTTTGTCGCCTGCAACTGCTGGCGAGAGAAGCCAAGGACAATAAGCCGCTAAAACTCTTCCCTATCAGTGCAAAGAGACCTCAGAATTTTTGATGTTTGACATTTTCCACTGTAAGATGCCCGTGTTCAGTGCACCGAAATGGTTGAGAAGGTGAAGTACTTGAGATCTAAAGTTATGCTTTCACTAGTTCTTGCAAATTAGTTTTCTTCAAGAAGCATCCCTGTTGAACTATTGCACGAATTCACTTCTTTGCCTATGTCTTCTTTATAATAACCATGTTTTAAGGTGCCTGGAAGATTGACGGGGTCACGATCATCTCCCAGTTGTACCTACATTCCTTATATGCATGACGTCCTTGTCCGTCTGTATGTACAGAACTTGTTCCGCCAACAGGAGTATATACGTTAGGACTCCACTCTTCAAGCTACTTGAATTAGTGTGGCATTTTTTTGCCGAGACAACTCTGTTTTAGAAACTGGTGTTTTGAAGAAACTCGGCCTGAGTGAGAGTACTGGGACAAAAACTAGCCAAGTTGAAGAAATTCTTAAGGGCGACAATGCCAGCTTGAAAGTGCAAGTTTTGTCATCAGTCATACTATCGAGGCCGCTGTTTCAACAGTGCTTAGCTGCAGTTAAAGGTAAGTAACTCGAAGATCAAAAATTTTCCGGCAAAGGGAATTGTAGGCGAAACTGAGTCAGAAATTCGGCAGTAAGGTTAACATGAAAGTATACAGGAATATTTCGACCTCCCAAAAAATTCAATGAATTCTAGAACTATTTATCCTAATTTAGCTCTAGCTGAAATGTAGGAAATAATATG